CATAAACGCCATTACCCAGCGATACAATAGTTTTGTAAATGAACTGGGGCCATAAACAGTATTTTACTGCAACGATCAACTGTACGTGTTCACAGTATTGCTGAATTTTAGGGCTGTTTAGAAAGTTTACATGTGTGTTTATTAATATGCGTTTAAAGTGAGCCAAGAGTCTCAACTATTAATGATCGATTGCCGACGTAACTTTTTTCTAGTGAGAACGCGGTAATTGTAAGACAGTCGATTGTTAATATACCAAATACAGTTAAACAATTGATGTTTTGGCATCAGTTGCACAAGGTATGAATATTGAAATAACGATCACATTCTGATTCTAATTACAATCGATATTGTTAATGTCCGGTAACATTTGTGAGTGGATGTGCACAGAAATTATCATTAACCAAACAACACACATACACTCAATCAGAATAGTTGTCTCGTCTATTGTGAAATATAAATTTATCGTACCGCATTGTAAATCACTCAGGCAATTGTCATTAACAATACGGATGTGTTTTTGATCTCTATGGAAACGTGTAACTAGTATCACTTGTGTTCCATCCATATCAAAGGTTTCCGACAAAATAGTGATTCGACTATGAGAATAATGACCGAGCCAGTTCGGGCGTTAAGGTAGATGTACTATTGAAATGCAATAACATTAAATAAAATGGTGAGTTCAGTTTGGGCATTTTATTATAACATTTAATTAAAGCGGAGAGTCGACAACTGCGCACGCGTCTGATGGCAATAGCGTGCCATCGTTTATAAACAGGCGTCTACCCATGAGCCTTTGCATTTTTAACGTGTGTTGTTATCGTCGCTTGAGACTCAATTCCCGCGCGTGCGAGGTGACGACCCTCCCGTTTTAAACATACACAATCACGGTATTCACTGCGACGGGTTACTCAACACAACGCCAACATTAAAGTTGATAGTCCAGTGTCAGGGGTGAAATTTATGACAAAATATTGTATGCATCAACTTTCATCATCATCACGTAAAATATATTATTTTAACAATAATTTTTACGCTGTGTGATACAACATGCAAATACGATGACAAAAAAGAACTAAGAAACTAATAATACATTACGAGTACTCTTACAATGTGTGTTTGATGCTCGAGGAACAAAATATCTCATGACGTCCACTCCGACTGCATTAGTTTAACGATAACAATGCGACAGTCGCATTTAAAATTAGATTACTTTGCAAACGGCCAACAGACATATAATTGAGCAAGCCTGTATATCTGAAGACAGAAATCAATTTTCTGTAAAGTAGCAGATCAACCAAGTACACTATACTGTGAATGTTAATGATGCCAATCACAAATTAATTTCAATTAAATACTAGTCATATATTCCGAAAATTATGATTAATTTACAAGGATTTCACTGTTGTGAATTTTAATATAAAGAATAATAGAATTATATAATTTAAAATTTTGATTCAACAATAAGTGTGGTTATTTTTACATCGTACTAAACAATGCCTTGTTATTCTGATTAACACAATTATAATATTAAATAATTTAATTTGACATGATAAACAATCAGACTTAATTGTTTCCCATTAAAACATTTTGTGTCTTCTGGTGTTAATTATTTTCATTATTATAACACCTGTCTTGATATTACCATATTTACACAAACAACAAGCTTGAGTGTTGTATTGGTCACGGTGATTGAGTCAAACAGTGAGTTGTGCGTCTGAGCTGAATATCTCAACCATCCAATACCCACATATGTTGTAAAAATTGCGATAAATTTAAATATACTGCCGTTTTAATCCATGTATGTTGGATTTACGTTTTTTTGCTTCCAGCAGACATTCAAGCAATATAATATGATATTATATTTGTTTCAATTTTTTTAAATTCTGTATGATAGGATATAATATATATAGGTTGGGTGAAATTTCTTTTTAGGTAGGGTATTTGTAGTTTTATTAGCTTTTGTTTTCAGTGGCGTTCATACTGACAACTATTCACAGTGTTCCTATTGTGTATTCAAAGGCAATTCGCCACATTTTGCGAGATACCTGACAGATTGCCAAGTGCGACGATGGTTTTGTTGCGACTATAACACATTTGTTTATTCAATAATAATGAAAAAATGATCACAAATCCATTAGATGTAGACATCATCATACATACATCCATATATTATTTTTTTATTGTTGCGTTTCTTTAAAGCATGAACAAATAACAGACATATAATGTTTTAGTTATTTGTAAAACATGTCAAATTCGTGCTGCGGTGCAATTTAAAAATCACCCACCGTATACTGATCAATCAAATTGATTGTCAGAAAGAACCTCATTGACACTATGGTAGACGGATTTTGGTATTTATTTACCAACTAACCATGCATGCTTTTATTTATTTATTTATTTATTTATTTATTTATTTATTTATTTATTTATTTATTTATTTATTTATTTATTTATTTATTTATTTATTTATTTATTTATTTATTTAATTATTTATTTATTTATTTATTTATTTATTTGTGTGTTTGTTCTTTTATTTATTTATTTATTTATTT